TAGTGATGTGCTATTATTTCCATGTAGATCCTATACGTGTCAAGTGCTAATACCTGATATGATGTTTCATATAAGTGAAATTGTCTCATAGATGCAAGGGTGCAGGCTGGCTACGTCATGAGATGTGCACCTGTCGTGACGTGACGCGCCTGTGGTGATGAGGTGGTAATGTGAAGCGTCAGTGCTACCTGCTTTGGGATACGATGTAAATATTTTTATGTTTATGTGTGATGAATTTACTACTTGTCTGTCATTTTTAAGTGCTTATACATTCATTTATATATACGGTAGATATGCAAGTTTAGACTAATTAATATTCATTTTGTGTGTGTGTGTGTGTGTGTAATGAATGTTCATTGAATCGGGCTGTATATCTACAGATAGTTCCGATTAATTTTATATATTTATGTTAATAGGCTTCCAGTTTTTTGAAATAAGAAAAGTAAAGCATTACGCATCTTTAATTCATGTATCAAGAAAGCCCAGACTTAAATAACTGTGGTACTTTGTTCAGTAACCTGCATTCCAGTACATGGTTGCCAATGTTTTATTTGTTTGCAGCTCGAATGTCTCCAGGAAAGGATTAAACCGCGTGCAAGAATCCAAGAGATTATTCTTGATGCCCTTATTGATGCAGGTGACGCTGGCACGTGGCACTGGTGGCCCTACAGTGTGACGCATTTTGTAGTTGGAGATACTGTGGGCTACATACGTTACTCCCTCAAACAAAATGATGAATAAAGTGTAGATAAGCGAGAACTCACACAGTGTGTTTAGCCTGTACAATATATGTATTATGTTTGCATTATATTTCTTGATCTTATTTGTATCTCTATAACTATGCCATTGTATGATGCACCTATCTATTGATGACCTCCCATATCTGTATATTTACTGCTCATGACGTGGCAACATTGTTCTTGGCCACGTGACCTAGCACCATTGCCTGTGAGCGAGGTTTCCCGCCAAATTTCGGTCACTCGGCGCTGGTCAACCACAGGAGACAGATGTGTGCTCTCGCCGCCATGTAACTCCTGAGAATAGAACCTACGAGATTCAAGATTGGTGTTTCCTTCTCCTTTTGATTACGAGGAACATCCCCCCGACCCAAGAAGAAATATACACTCTATTTCTATATTATAAAAATGGATTACATATACACACTGAAACATACACCGCCATCCCCCCCCCCCCCCGCACACACGCACACACACACACACACATACATATACATACGTAAATGATTTCTTAGAATCACTGTCAAAATTCTCCATCTGACACACTTTCCGCAGATTATTCTTAGTTTACTTATTTTTTTTATTCGAATTGTTCTTCTGACTAGAAAAATTCCAAAAAACTGTTCTTGTGATTATAAAAGGAAAGGAAGTGAGAAAGATGGCAATAGAAAGCAGAGGTGCGAAAACTATAAACTTTAAATGAATAGAAAGAGGAAGAAGAATAAGAAGACATAGGAGATTGAGAAATATAGATGAAAAAAAGTGTGAAAGACTGAACGACAGAAAGGGAGAAAGAAAAATAGGAGGAAACAGCACGAAAAAAGAAAGCGAAATGGAAAGAAAGAACGAATGAATATTATATATATATATATATAATATATATATATATATATATATATATATATATATATATAATATATATATTATATATATATAGAAAGACGGGCGTGTCCAAAGCAGGAGAGAATCTTGGAAGAATGGCATGTTGCAAAGGGAGATTGCACAGGGAGGATAATGGTTACACGTCAAAAAAGTTGCGGTGTGTTGTGAGAATATAAAAGCTTGCCCGCGTCCATTTTCACCCACATAAACATCTTCACTCTTTCGCAGATATTCTCTTCCTTAAACAATCTATTCAACCTGTTTCTCGGCCACGTCTCTACTCCACATCCTCATCAAAATCTGGCTCCCTCGTTACTTATTTAGGGAATCTACACAAAGGTTTTTGTAATTCGATAATAGTTCTTCATATAATTCTTATATTAACGATCTCGGTGGCAAACAAACTAACCGAAAACCAATAATTTATCAAAGATTTAGATCTGTGAGTGGAAATACAGATAGAAGTTCATTAAGATATATTCCTCGAAATCTTTGCTTACATTTCATCACTATATTTGCCAAGATATTTTCTTTTGCACTGAGGCGCCTTTTCTACCAGTATTAAACCTTTATTTGAACTGCTTCTCCTGAATAGAATGTCATTTCTGTAATTAGCTTCCCAGGCTGGTTCACGAATTCTCTCATATTATTTATTTGTTGTTATTTTCCGTACTCGGCACAACGCAAATTCTATTCAGCTTGAGATTAGCAAGCTGCTAGATAAGAAAATTATGGTAAAACATTGAAAGTGATACTTCATTAAAAATTCTTGCCTTTTGGTAGTCATGATGAACATGATAATGGTGGTGATAACATGGGAAATGCAGTTATTGTAAAAACTTATTCCTAGAAAACAAGATGGCGCCTCTGCTTTCGGCAATTCGTCGACTTGATCTACACAGACCGTCGACTTCGTACTTCTGCTATTCAAACCGTCGAAATTTGTCACAATATCAATAAACAAGGAATTCTTTCTTTTCGAAAAGAGAAAGGCGAAAATGGCGTGATTGAGACATCATCATATCATCATCATCATCATCATCACCATATCATATTGTAACCATTATCATCATCATATTTTTATAATCATCATCATCATTATCATCAGAGATAGACAAATAAGTAGATAGATGGTCAGTTCTATTGAAAGATTGATTAATTTGGGTAATTTATAGATAGATAGATTGGGAGACAGAAAGACAGACAGATAGATATATGCAATCATAAAGAGATGTAAATAAACAGCCAATACGAGTACATATGTATGTATGTATGGACTGATGATGTATGGAAATTTGGAAATTGTGTGTGTGTGTGTGTGTGTTGTGTGTGTGTGTGTGTGTGTGTGTGTGTGTGTGTGTGTGTGTGTGTGTGTGTGTGTGTGTGTGTGTGTGTGTGTGTGTGTGTGTGTGTGTGTATGTGTGTGTGTGTGATGTGTGTGTGTGTGTGTGTGTGTGTGTGTGTGTGTGTGTTGTGTGTGTATGTGTGTGTGTGTGTGTGTGTGTGTGCGTGTGTGTGTGTATGTATGTGTGCGCGCGTGTGTGTGTGTAGTGCATAGCTTTTTATGTATCTATATCTACAATTAAATTGCATGTCAACAGTATCCATATATCTGTGTTTGTTTGTGTGTATGTATGTGCGTGAGCGTGTTCGTGCGTGTCAGAAAATAATCTTTGTTTGATCAATATTTATGTCACTGTAATGAAAAATGTGCGTGTCCGTATGTACACTTATTTTTAATATATCTATATGGAATTACAGTTAATAGTACCAATACCTTTATGTCATTTCATTAATGGTAATAATAAAAAATAAAGTATTTTCCTAAACATCTTTGAAAAACGACTACTTTAATTTAAATAATCTTTTTATAAGGCGATGTGCGCTCTACGTCACGAACACGTGACTTCGCTGACTTCGGCTTCGAGAAAAAGGGAAACGAGAGACAGGGATCGGGATAAATAAAGAAAACAGCCGCGTTTCCGGCGGGTCACCGTCCGCTCAGAATACCATTATTATTCCAATTCAAGATATATTTGTGTTACAAAAACTCGAGGAAAAGATAGAGAGAGAGAGATACAGACAGACAGAGAGAGAGGAGAGGAGAGAGAGAGAGAGAGAGAGAGAGAGAGAGAGAGAGAGAGAGAGAGAGAGAGAGAGAGAGAGAGAGAGAGAGAGAGAGAGAGAGAGAGATACAGACAGAGAGAGGGGGGGTAGGGGGGGAGAGCTTTATAAAGACAATAATTGTGGCTAAAAATCGTAAATTTCACAATTGAAACATGAATACAATCCTTTCATTTAATTTCTTTCCGAAAATTAATCGAACTAACACATGGCCTGACACTGTCGCCCCGATCAGTCGATTTTCTCTCACCGTTTTCATTCGCCTTTCAAATCGTAAAGACTGATAGTTGAAATTTTATGAAAAGAGGTGTTCTACAAGATATAAGCAAATAAATTATCATAGCCAATGGAGTTTCCGTTTCAGTTCTCGTGTCGAGAGAGAGAGAGAGAGAGAGAGAGAGAGAGAGAGAGAGAGAGAGAGAGAGAGAGAGAGAGAGAGAGAGAGAGAGAGAGAGAGAGAGAGGAATAAAAACGACGACGACCGTTGTTGCGAATGGTGTTCCCTTCATCTTCGGGGACACATAGAAAAACGAATGACGGAAATCCAATAATAATGATGGTGATGATAATAGTAATAATGATAATAATAATAAAGCAATAACGTCTTCACCCAAACCTATATTGCCATTATCAATTCCCTTTCGAGGTGCTGCATTGAGGAAAATTCTTTCACCAATTCCTCGTCAAAATCTGCATCAACTTTTTTAATTGAACATAAATAAAAAAGGAAAGGATAGAAGAAAATAGCATTGCATTTGAAATTGGCAGAAATTCTCTTCTTGCAAAAAAGCGGAAATTGAGATATGAAGTCGTTGGAAAATCTCAGTCGCTATACTGTGTTCGTGTGCATGTGAATCTGTGTGTGTCTGTGTATGCGATATGCCATAAGTTCTGCTCGAAATACCGAACGAGCAGAAAAACGGGCGAATGGGGAAACTGCCGGTGCGCGCTAACGACCTCGCGTAACTGCCCGATTGCCTGTTCTTGACACCGCGGTCATTGGGCAGTCACACGCGCAAAAAAGAACAAAAAAGTCTTACCCGTGAAAACCCACCTTGCTTATGCACTGCTGTTTCTCGAACTCCATGTTTTTCTTCATTTTTGTGTGAAAAAAACTTTTTTATTATATTATTATGTATGAAATTCCCAAGAAAGCAAAAACAATGAACGTTTTTCTTTTGGTTCTAGTGAAATTATACGACATAACAGAATGCATTAGATATACTTTTAAAGAATCTTTAAATTCAAGGAACACATTTCTATAGAATGTCATACAACCTTCTCAACTTCATGCAGATTATTTACTCCGTACCTACTAACAATTCCACAACTAATCTGCAGAGATAGATTATCTTATCAGGTAAAGGTGACTGGAGCTTTATCCATATAAGCATCCTGCATTCCTCGAGTAAACAACATATCAGCATGAATATATAACCTCTATTATATATCAACATATTAAACTTTGCCATTTCCGGGTAATGTCTGGATTTCAACGATGTAGATGTGATGTTCAAGTTATGTTTTATGATCACTACAATTTAATTATGCTTTTACCACTACGCTGGACATCGAGATCAGGAGTGAAATACCATCAAATGATAACTTGCTTACAGCTATCGAATGATCAGAAGGGTCATTTCAGGAGCACGAGAACAATGAAGGAGAAATAGGCATCTCTCAGGTCGGGTGGATGGTCCCGTGTTTTAAATATAATTTCTTGCTTCTATAACTTCAATAGTAGCCACAAAGCCAGTAATTATGTCTGTAGCCTGGCGAGTAATGAATTCTTACATTATTATAATTTTATCATCATTATTAACAAAATCATTATTATTATTGATATGATTATCATTATAATTCTTATTACCATCATTATTATCATTATTTTGCTCTTGTTATAATCCACATATATATATATATATATATATATATATATATATATATATATATATATATATATATATATATGGATGGGTGGATGTGTGCATACATATATATATATATATATATATATATATATATATATATATATATATATATATATATATATATATATATATATATATATATATATATATATATATATATATATATCTATATATATATATATATATATATATATATATATATATATATATATATATATATATATATATATATATATATATATATATATATATATATATATATATATATATATATATATATATATATACACACACACACACACACACACACACACACACACACACACACACACACACACACACACACACACACACACACACACACACACACACACACACACACACAC